AACAGCCATTGAGCTTGCATATTAACAATGCATCTCCATTACAACCGAGCAAACCTGCTGGTTGTGTAACAACTGTGGATAAAGCTAGGAAGTGGAGCTTGAAATGGATTTGTTTTGCAGAGCAATTTTCAAAGTCAAGAACGAACGTTAATGCATAATAGTTTGACATTTTGGAAAACTATTATTCACTTTCTTTGTGAAAGAAATTGACACCACTCTCATGTTTGTATGGTAAATATGAAGCTATAGCCATTACCCAGTTAGCGTAGCTTAGCATAAAAACCGGAAATGCCGGGAAACACAAAAGCTAACCTGGCTCTGTCCAAAGGTAACAAAATCAACTTACCAACACCTTTAAATATTACTATCGAACAAACATTTGTTTAATCCATACAAGAAAGGGTAATGTTCCAGACATGCTTTTTCAACAATGTTAAACTATTCCCTTAACTACATTGAAAGTTGACTAATCGTTAGGACTTGTGGTTATAAACTAAGTTATGAATCTGTTAGTTAGAAAAATAAGTTATCAGTCTACAAATTAAAGTTAAACACACTAGTTTACTCTTATTCTCTCTCATATACAATCTCATTACAGTATCCAGGTTGACTGACTTCGTGTACTTTGTCTGCTGAGCTTGGCGTCCAGTGGTTGCCATGGGAAAAATGGTGCCATAATGATGCTGACTGGCAACTTTCCCTGAAATTGATACGGAGCAGATTCCTCCCGCTCTTGACCCCTGTTGTTTTTATAGCCCGCCTCAGTTCTGGGAGGCTGAGACGGGAGAGAGGAGGCAGACGAGAGCAGAGAGGGGTGGAGGGGGCCCTTCAGAATTTACGACCATCCAGTTCCTCCCGCAGACACAGTCAGTCATGGATCAGTCGTGCTTTCACTTTGCTCCGTTACACGACATGTTGTACTGAAGCTGAAACAGACTGTATTTGAGCCACGGCAATCAGAGTGATTTTCACTGGCACGTTGTCGATGAGCAGGAATTGCTCTCCAGGACTCTGGAGCAGACATGTCAACAGCTTACAGAGATTCACAGCACATACTGTACTGACACAAATTGTACAAGGACAACAAGATCACACATAGAGTGCACAGGGATCATACGACACACACTATACACAGCGTAAAGTACTGTATTTATCACTGTACATTTATCAAACAGTCTGTAAGCTGTTCTGATAAACAGCTGTTTGTGATTAACATTGCATTCTGGGGTCTATTTATTTATTTTTTTTTTCAGTTTGCCTGAATCTTGTGGGTAACTGGCCAAACATACAGTGGATCAACCGGTGTTAGATTGACATATTCTCCAAGCGTGGGCCTCTATTATTTTCTAGTTAATCCAAAACAATGATACATATACAAATGTTTTGTGGCAGGCCCGTACATTTGGAGCACTCACTTAGAAGACTCTGCATTTTGCAGTCACATTTAAACAATTATACAGAGAGAAATCTACTGTAAAAGGGCCAAAGACACTTAATTATCCCCCAACAGCAGCCTCAGTAGACTACAAAGCAATGCAGCTTTGAGACAACTGGAACTTTGGCTTAAGTTTTTTGGCCCTGAGTAATTCTTAGAAAGTGAGCTACAAAATGATTCATTTACATTTCATGATAAGATTACAGCTTGAATACAGTGATCATCACAGGTGACTAGTGCATTGACTTTATATCATAATACTGTAAGAGTAGCTCCACTAGTGGTACTAGATGCTGCTCATCCTGCCACCTCCTTTGGCTATAAATACTTCGGCCCTCCGCACTGGGAAAACCCAACGCCTGCAGTTTTATTGGAGTGATGGCAACCGATGAGCATACAACTCTCGGGGGGGCATTTTTCTCTGGTAGCTTCTTCAGGAGTCCACAACAATTAATTGTGTTATGCAGAGTTTCTAATAAGCATTTACAAAGACAAACTAGAGTCATGTGAAAATGAATTACCCAGTGGTGCTGTCACTGTCTGTCCCAAGCTAGTCCGTACCTATCAACCAGTCCCTAATGGAGGTAACTGAGAGTTGGCTTAGCAACGGGTAGACTTTTTAATGTTTCCAAAGGAGGTTGTTTTAAAAAAAGATCCCTGTTAAACAGTGTTAGATATGAACTTGAAGGCTACATATGATAATATGCTAAAAGACTGAGGCTAAAACTACATGTCCATGGCAAAAAGTTAGCATCCTCACCAGTCAATGTTCCATGTAGATCCACAGTTCCACAGATTTACCACTGTCTCCACCTTGCTGGTGTTGTTAGAGCGTAAACTTCCCCAAATCCAATAATACCAAAACTCTTCAATCATCTAGGACCGGCTACCAGGGGACACAGTTTCTGTCTTTTCTTTTATATTTCACAAATTCTTTTTGTTTTTGAGTAAATCATTTATAGGTTTTGTGAGACTAGACTGACCACAGGTTTTCATTTTAATGCCCGTCTGACTGTCTGCTCATGCAGTAATCTGCAGCTCTAACCAGTGGACCGGTAACTCAGTGTCATGCCCTGCCAAGAGCCACAGAACACCTGAAGGGGCTGGTAGTGTTGACCATAACACAGCCAGTGGGTCATGTGACAGTGCAGGTGGCTGTCAGCCTGGACTATATGCTGCTGCCAAACTCCACAGTGACCCAGAGAGTTACAGAAACTGCAGGAGGGCCGGCTAATTCTTGTCAGGAGGAGGCCTGTCGCCCAGCCGAGAGCAGCCAAACTTACCCTCCTTCCAGCACATTTAACAAGCTAACATTCCTTCTGTGAACTTTTAGTCGTTTTCACAACTGTGCTCTTTGCGAGTTGACTCAAAGCCTTTTGACATTTTCAGCTGTCTGGTCCTGTTAAAGCTGCACTAAGCAGGAGTTTTAAGTAAAAATGCACAAATTTTATGTGCTTAAATCCACTCCCCTTTGTACCTTCTACCTTATTTGCCCTTATTTTCTAAAAGTGAAATTATAGTATTATGAGGTCTCTTTCATTTTGCTATCCTTTGGTGTAAGGCTGTGTGCAGTTTGCTGATGATATGTTACCAGGATGCCAGTATATTAAAGGTCAAAGCTTTAACTCTTGCTGTTATTTGGAGTTACTGAGTCTGCAAGAGTTTTTATTTGTGCATTTTTCTGAAGGTATTTGAGTTTAACTAAGTGATGGGAAAGTGAATAAAAAAGGGAAGGGAAAGAGAACGTCCTGACACTTGTCAAAAATTACATCCTGGACAAACAAAATCCCCCAAAAAATCATAACACTGTGAGAATCAGCAGACCCAGAAAACACCCTTAACTCAACACTTTAAATAAATTATACAGTATTCACGTTAGCTGCTGACACGACAGCCCTGCTTCAACAGTTTAAAATCTTTGGCAAGCCTGTAAAGGGACTATTGATTAGGGTTAATTGAAATATCTTAGTGCCTGTTGGAGCTTGACTTAAATCATGACCAACTTTAGAGAAATACAGTATCTTTTAGGCCGAGGGCGTGTGCCTGCCAGTTGCACATAAATCTTCAGCGCTGGTCTTTTTCTGTCAGCTCTGCCCTTGGAGATAAAACACCATATAATCTTCCATTTTCCCTCCACATCTTCTACAGTATCCTCAGTTTCCTTCTGCTTTTTCTCCGGTTGAAACTCCACCACATGCCAGCAAACTCGCACACATCTGAAACCCGGCTCTTCCACATTCGGGTTTATTGATAGTCGTGTAAACCTCATGCCACTCCATTTTAAGAGTGATCTCATCGCGGAAGTTCCACGAGTGCTCCGAACCAGCTCGCCAGTGACTTTTAAGTGGCTTTTGTTCCCCGGCAGTGGAAGGCAGGCCAGCAAAGGACAGTGCAGGCTTTCATAAACGCCTGGCTCTGCTCCTGCAGGTCCTCCTTCAGCTCTCTGGTGGAAACATGGTGCCTGGTGTTTCGGCCCTGGGTGTAATTAACCCGGGAACTCATAAAGAGGCGTTCACAGCAGGGTGCATGGCGGGCCCACTCCTCATGCCAGCTCCTGTTGGGCAGCTGCGATCCTGCTCCAGATGTTTTCCGTTAGCATGTTTGCATGCCAGCAATGCCAGAGAATCCAAAGTCTGCTACACCTACTGTATACAGTACACAATGCTCCAGTGTGCTGTGGCTCCAATCGAGAAAGGGCTTTATATAAGCTTGTGAGGAAAGGTTCTCATGAAAGGGTGGGAGTATGTGAATAAAGCAACAGGAAGCACATTTATTAGTCAACATATCTGGTTTAGCCACAAAACAGCATACGCCGAGCTGGTAGTGATTAAATGTTTTGCTCGCAGAACCATTAAGCAGCAATTTCAGCTTGCAGCATGGAGGCCTGTTGGTCTGACAGTCGGCGGGTCCACCACTTTGATCAGAACTGAAACATCTCAACAGCTACTGGATGGGTTTGGTGCAGAGATTTGTGGTTTTCAGAGGATGAATTCTGCTGACGTTGGTGATCCCCTCATTTTTCCTCTAGTGCCACCATAAGGTTAACATTTGTAGTTCTGAATGTAATAAACTGTAATATCTATTCCCATTAGCCTTGTAGCCTCAGTTGTATTAGCATCAGGCAGCCGTTTAAATAACTGCAGTTTTTGTTATTTCCGTGTCGGCTTCATTTGTTAGCCACAGAGGTTGCCATGCCTCCCAGAGTCGCTAGCATGGCTGTTGTAACATGCCAGGCTTGAACCTGCATCTTCCAGCTCGGAAAAAAAAATCTCACTTCTTCACACACCAGCCAGCTGTCCCAATGTTTGCTGACCCAAATATAATTCTGCCTTTGATGAGGTTAGTCTTGCAGGGTTTAAGGCATTGGACTGGTTCCATTGTCAACAGGTTGTAAAATAATGTGAATTTAATAACTGCAGTAGGAACAAACATAAAGAGACTCTGGTGGCCTCACAATCAAAGTTGGCTGCTGCAGACACATTCAGTGTTTGTACTGCGACACAGACTATATGTTTGTAAGTGCAATGACTGATGATTTTGTTCTCCTTTTCTTCCATCTCTGTAGACATTTACAGCTTGGTGTAACTCTCACCTGAGGAAAGCAGGCACGCAGATCGAGAACATCGAGGAGGACTTCCGGGATGGACTGAAACTCATGTTGCTGCTGGAGGTCATCTCAGGTAAACAGCTTCTTACTTAACAGGATTATCTAAATGAAAACAGTTTGCATGGACGCCACTGTTACATGCTGAGTTTGGAGACCAGGATTAGCCTTAAAGGAATAGTTTGACATTTGGGTAAATATTCAAATTTGCTTCCTCGCTGAAAGTTGGAAGAAAAGATTGATACCACTCTGACATTTTCCATTAAAGTCACAGGAAATCTTTTGTTTTGTGGTGTCAAACAGAATATTTGGGGAGGGTCTATTTACTAAATCCTTCAAATTTGATTGGATTGCTAAAAAGCAGGTGTAATTTAGCAATATGGAGCTGTAGCAAACTGAAATCCATACACACACTTGCTACTGTGATAGGCTAGCTCTCTGTAGCTACAGCTCACAAGCTAAGAGTCCAGTGTGGTTTTATATGATTGGCAGGTCACCCCAAATCACATCTGATTGTAAAATACACCCCAGAGTTCAAGATGAGTCTTCAAAAATATTTTATGATTTTAAGAGAGTGGAAAAGGGAGGGCTGTTGATATAAAAATATTTTAAATGATTTTTTTAAACATATATTTGGCATATATCAAAAGATAACCAAACAATTATTGGAAAATTTACTTTTTTATTTCACCATCCTTAAATATAAAGCTACAACCAGCAGCTGGTTAGCTTAGCTTAGCAAGAAAAACAGAGGGAAAAGGCTAGCTTAACTTTTTTCAAAGGTTAAATATTCCACCTACCAGGACCTCTAAGCTCACTAATTAACATGTTATATCCGTACCAAAATTGAAGAGTAAAAACAGCGACCAGGTGTAGTCTTGGTGTTTCCCTCTGTTTCCAGTCTTTCTGCTAAGCTAACTGTCTCTCGGCTTCATATTCCCGGGACAGACATGAAAGTGGTTTCAATCTTCTAACTCTAGTCAAGAGAACTATTGCTTTAAGACAACAAGAAATATGTAATGTTGAAAAGCTTTTAGCAATTATGAGGAAAGCTGCTCCAGCCTAACTCGCAGCCTTATGCATTTCGGTCTCTGCACCATTTTTCTTCTTTTTTTTATGTATTATCAGAACAAAATGTTATTTATTACGAATGTGAGTACTTAGAGAAACAGCCAGACATAGCAATCATCCTCTATCTGTCTGCCTTTTTGTATTTTCCTGTCTAGGCGAACGCTTGGCCAAACCAGAAAGAGGCAAGATGAGAGTCCACAAGATCTCCAACGTTAACAAAGCGCTTGACTTCATCGCCAGCAAAGGAGTGAAACTGGTGTCTATTGGAGCAGAGGGTGAGTGATGTCACTGACTTATAGTGACATTTCAGCCAGAAGATGAAGTTTAAGGATTTTCCACAAAGTTTGTTTACATCCTAGATTGTCACCTATCGATCTTAATGAGGCCATCAGCCAAATCAATAGCTACTAGTCTGCTGTAAATAGCTATGTATAATGTAGTCCATGGCCCTCTCTCCCCCTCGTTTCCATGGCAGTGCTGCTGGCTGCTGTGCAGTTTAATGAGATCCTTATTCCAGAGTGTTCCGGCGGAGGTTGTGCTTTGCAGTGCATTTTCTGAGAGTAGATCTTAGGATCAGCAATCCCCTCTGGGACTGAGGCTGCTCATTGTTCAGCACAAATAACTTGGGGATGTCCGTCCTCCTCCCATCAGAGAGTAAACAACTCTTTAGCTGAGTAAACACTCACCTCTCTCTCTCTCTCTCTCTCACACTATCTATCTTCCTCTTTCACAATCACACACACCCCTCCGGCATTGTCAGGAATTGACAGATTTTGGACAAGTGTGTTGGAAACAGAAACTACAAACTGTGTCCACAGTGTCTGCTAAGCAAACTCGAAACATTTGACGGCTCGCAAAGGGTCAGTTCACCCAATATACACATTATTCTACTCTCTCCTCGTGGTATTTAAACATGCAGATATTTTGGGTTTTGAGTGCGAACGTTTTGATATCTGTCTCTTGAGATTTCTTCTGCTACCCCAGTACAACCAGTACAATGGAAAGGAACAGACATTTTATTGTTGTGCTCAATGTGCTGAAAGATGACATTTGAAAAAACTCAACAGGAACTTTCCAGAAACAATGTCCTGGTTCACGGATCATCCACAAACCTACCAACTACTTTCTACTGAAGAAATAGTCCCCATGAAAACTGTTTTCACTTCATTTTTAATGATCTGTTTACACCCGCTGTATTTGAATGGCACCACAGATTGTGAGAAAGTATGTTTTTTTGGAATTTTTGTTGAACTGACCCTTTAAATAATATGAACCCTTGTAAATTAGCCTAATTCATTTTAAACACACAGTGGATCTGACATTCCTGAAGGCCTGGGCCTGTCCCACTACAACACCACCTAATAAGGTTAACCTTTGACCCATCTAACCCGGCTGTTCAACAATTCTACTCTTTTTATCAGGAGCTTTTTCTCTCTTTCACTGTTAAAAGAAATCCTTGGAGGGAAAATGTTTTAATAGCAAACTCTGTGCTGCAACAGAACGGACAAACCAAAGACTGGCTGTAGAGTTTTGCAGCCAATATATATATAATATATATAAGCAAGTATTGTTTTAATATTGTTAGTGAAACTCTGGTATCATATTGGCAATAGTTTTGAAACAACAATTACCAGCTCTAATCTCCTCTAATGCTCTAATCAATCAATCATTTGATCTATAAAATATGAGATAAAATAATGAAAAAAGGCCTGCCACATTTTCCGAGAGCCCAAGTAGATTTCTTTAATTTGTTTTGTCTGCCCAGCAGTCCAAGAAGACATTTTTGTCATAGAAGACAAAGAAAACGAGAAAATATTCATATCTGAGATAGTGGAGCCAGTAATTTTCTATGGATCAACCATCCGATTAATCAACTTTACTGTCTCAGCTCATTTTTTAAATATTATTGAAACAAATTAATATAATCTTACAAGCAGATTTTCATCACTTGTTTAAAGAAAACAAGACTTTTTGGCTCAAAAAAGGACTGAAATTACTTTATAAGATGGAGATTATTTTGCAGCGCACAGAGGCCGGTATAAAAGCTCCTAAGCCAGACCAGCATTCCAGACAGATTAGCCGCCTGGAATCCCCTCCTGGTCGAGCGGCCCTGCAGCCCAGCTCCCCGCTAGCTGTGGCGGTGGGATGGGACTAGTTGAAGGCTCAGGTTCATGCGACTCATCGGGGGGGTTTGTTGTGGGTGAGGGATGTGAGGGGGGTGCAGTTTTCAAATGGATTTAACAGGATTTGTGTTCCTCCCCCCGGTTGATCGGTCCTGTTCATTAGCAGCTAATCTCAACATGTATCTGCATGTGTCAGCCCGGACAACCGAGCGCGACTTTTTCTGCCTCCTAATTCAATCTGAGCCGTCTTTCACACCGCGTTAAATGTACAGACATCTGACTGACATCTCACAGTCCAAGTTTGTCCGTCACAGTCGAGCGGCTGTGGAGCTGCCGTGCCCCGCGCCTTATTGGATTAGAGGGAGAAACAAATGATTATTGAAGGCGGGCAAACACAGTGACCTGTTGAAGGGGATTTTCATTATCGACAACACAGAGAGGAATGGAGGCAGGCAGTTCATTCACAGCCTCCAACTGCAGGCACACAGCTGATTGACAGCTTAACAGCTACAGGCTCAAATGATTGAATCATCACACGTTTCATTCATAAGAGCTTAGTACTCAGAGTTCCCCCTCTAGACGTACTGTGAACGCATGTTAACCTGGAAAATAGGGCTGCACAATATGGTAAAAAAAATCCTATTGCGATTATTTTGACAGATATTACCATTGCAATAGGATTCACAATTTTTTGTATCAAAATTTTCAGCTTAAAAAAACCCCCAAAAGCATTTGCTGCCTGTACTGAACAACCATTTTTTCTTACATCTGGAGAACAAGATTTGTAGGCCAGGGAATAATCTCTGCAGCACTACAGTACTTCATTATAATGCTGTTTTGTTACTTCCCTTTTGTTATTTCCCCTTATCACAAAATTGCAGCCAGATTGCAATTTCGATAACATTTTGATTAATTGTGCAGCCGTAGTGAAAATCCTGCAATGTACAAGTGTTTTGGTGTTGAATCAGCAGACTATCTGAGTGTCAAATTAGTTTTCTGACCTCAAAGGCCTGTGTTTCGTGTGTATTGGGCCATTATTTCTTTGTTATTGACAGTTTGTAATAGTGAAAATCTAGAAATGAAAAGTGAATCTACTACTGTACATGCGGTAAATCTCTGTGTTTTTTAGACTTGACAGCAGCTCTCTAGCAGCTCAGTAAGGTTGCACTTAGCAGCCTTTAATATTCATATTAAATGTTTGCTAATCCATGGAATAGTTGAGATATTTCAGTTTGGCCTTGCAGCTTTCAAACTCTTTCACGTTTCAACCATATTTAGCCCAGTTTTAAGACATCTAGACAGCTTTTGACCTTCAAATCACTGAATCAAATCTTACTGGCCATGTCTGCCAGATGTGAGAAATAGAAATTATAAGTGACAGCTAAATGAGTAAATCCTAAAATCTAAATGGTATTGCTTTGTCCTTCTTCCAGAGATCGTAGATGGCAACGCTAAGATGACCCTGGGAATGATCTGGACCATAATCCTCCGCTTCGCCATCCAAGACATTTCTGTGGAAGGTACTGTGTGTGTGTGTGTGTGTGTGTGTGTGGGAGCATTTCTACACACTTCTTATTCATTCCCTTTTTTGAAAAGAGCTCCTGCTCACTGTCTTTATTTGCAATTGAAAACACTTTTCATTGACACTGTCTCAGCGTTAAGACCTTTCTGACGCATCTCACTGAGGTTAAAAAAACTGCATAACTCTACGTTTAAACTAATGCATGTTCATTTGAATATGAATGTTTCAATAACAGCTCTTTTTCTATGGAGGTGGAAATATTTATGTTCTGCTCCTCACTTTGGTTAATAAATATAATGCACTTACAATGTAATCCAATTTAAATGTCAGTAGTGATCAACCTTGATTTGTTCCGCTTTACATTGCAGTGCAGTGCAGTGTTTAACTTTTACTGTTTGGGTAGAACACAATGCCAGACACCTCTCTCTCGAAACATCCGAGCAATCACACATGCTTCCCATTCACTTCACCTCCACTTAATCCACCACTAAACAGGGATTAGCCGGAGAGTTGGTCAAAGTAAAAGCCTGAGAGTTTCTCCAACTTCACAATGATCCCTTCTCTCCGACCGCAGAGACTTCTGCCAAAGAGGGCCTCCTGTTGTGGTGCCAGAGGAAGACTGCGCCCTACAAGAATGTCAACATCCAAAACTTTCACATCAGGTAAGGCTTTGCAGAGGAAAACATAATAAGTAACAAAAAATGTTATTTTACTCACACGCCGAGATGCAGTTACAGTTAATAAAATGAGATTGTGGAAACAAAACGCAAAGAGTTCAAATATCAGCGTCAAGCTGGGGAAATTAGACCAAAGAATGTGAAAGATCTCTCACCTGAACTCAGTTTTATTTGCTCTCAACCTTCCACTTTGAGGGGACACAATGAGGTCAGAGGTTCTTCAACAACAAAAACAAAAAGTATGAATAAATATTTTCTTCATTTATATAAATTTATGTTATCTAGCAAATAATAAATGATTAAATTGCTTATTATGCTTTCCATAACTAGTAAACCAATACAAAGCCACAGTGAACTGCTGCATTACAAATCATTAACCCAATGATCACCAATAATTTCCTCAACAAACATGTTTCCCAAAAAATAAAAATTATTATATATTATTGCATTTTCTCATATCAGTTCAAGGCTATTTTTATGAGAATTATCTGCTGATGAAACCTGATAAATGGAGTTGCAGTGAGTATTTTCTGCAGTCTTCATCACAAGCTGCGAACAGTCCCAACAAACTCAGAAGGTAGGGCAAGTCCACAAACCTGCTTGCGAAGCAGCAGTGAGTAAAAATAACACATGGTAATATATTTACTGAACCCTGGATCAGTAAATATATATCATGGGAGTCCTATTCTACATTTTTTTAAAGCTTGACAAACTGCTGTCTGTCTGTAAAAACCTGGATTTTAGGTTCTGATTTTGGTTTTATTTGCTTTTCCAGGCATCTTGGTGCAGTTATTTAGTGTCTCACCTGAGTGTAAATGGTTTATTTTCATCTGGGGGAAAACAGAGTTAAAGAGAAAGTCTGAATAGTTTGAATAAATGAATAAACTGCTTTAAGACTCACATTGTAGTAGTATTTGGTAGCTTTGGAGTATGAATCCCTCCATCCTGCGACTATCTACTGCTTTGAATAAAAATGTGGTTGTCGGCTTGTCTGGTTCACTTAAGACTGTATAAGAAATTAGACTTGAAGCACACCAGGATTACATATATATATATATATAT